AGGCTACTATGTATAGGGGGAGAAAGTAAGATATGAACAAATAATAAAAAAATAAAAATTGAAAGAAATTACTATCACATGTCTTATTTACAGCGTGGAGTGAAAATAAAGAAGCCTGTACATTACATATTTTTGGTCGAGTTTTTAGTGGGTTTTTATCACTAGTTTTAATAATTTTAATGTTTCTTACTTAACTCAAAGAAATTATTTTGTATATTTAATACTTTTGAAGCAATAAGCGTCAATTGATTCATTTCTTTCTTGACAGAGCTTAGCAAAATGTAATGTTAATTGATCTGAATCTAAACAGTGTATTTAATGATTTTTCAGATGGGAGTCAAATGTCCAGACCATAATTGTTAGATGGTTTAATAATGTAACATTTAAATGTAGTAACTCAATTTTTACTTTATTTAATCACAATTCTATTACTGAATCATAATATAAACAATATAACAAATGAACAGAACATATGTAAATTAACAATTATAGTATAAGCCAGTACATTTGGAATGGACACATTAATCCTCCCCCTTAAATTTGGAAGGTAACATGTGGTTGATATGCCGCTTCCATATAGATCCATCATCCATTTCAAGAACGTAAATTAACTGTCCATCCTTGCTCTTTACTTTACCAAACATCCACTTGTTTGTCTTGTCTCTGAAATCATAAGCTTCAACTCATTCACCCTTTTTAAAGTCTCTTATTCTCTTTGCACATTTTAAGTCATTGTTTGAAGGCGTGTTGTTTGTTATCATCCAATCTAGTCTCGTTCTCACATTTCTCTGAAACATTAGGAAATAAGAATTTGATCCAGTGGAGTTTCTTGATTGTCTCATTTGCATCAAGAATCTTTGTAACTTTATTTCCATGTCTCCTCCTTCATCTTTCATGGCTTGTAGACCTTTCTTTATAGTTTGGACAAATCTCTCCGCTTGACCATTGGAAGAGGGGTGGAATGGAGCGCTTGTTTTGTGTAACACACTGTAGTTTTTCAAAAATGTTTCAAAAGTATGTCCTTAAAATTGTCTGCCATTATCTGACACTAAAGTAAATGGAATTCCAAAAGTAGAAAACAATTGTCTTAATTTTGTGACACACCAGTCAGAAGAAGTGTTTTTTGTTTGAAATACTTCGACCCATTTTGTGTAAGCGTTAACGACAATAAAAAAGTAATTGTTTCCAAAACAAGGCCCAGCAAAATCTATATGTATTCTTTGCCAGGGACCATCAGGGGCTTGCCATGGATGAGGAGTCACTTGAGGTGGTTTGTTTTGTTTTAAACAACATTGTTTACAAGTCTTAGCCAGATGTTCAATATCATGATCGATGCCTTGCCAATAGCAGTTGCTTCTTGCTAAAGCCTTCATTTTAACTATTCCCAAGTGACCAAAGTGTATTTCTGTAAGTACTTTTGATTTCAAATTTTGTGGAACAACAACTCTATTACCTTTAAATAAACATCCATCTTGTAATGTAAATTCACAATCATTGTATCCAAATTTCTAAAGACTCTTTCCTTCTTCTAAATGTTGAATGATGGTTTTAAGGTGTTCTTCCTTCAGTGATTCATCTGCAATCTGTTGTTTTGTTACTGGGAGTGTTTCCAATTGGTTGATTTGAAAGACAGAATAATCATCAATTGAGTTTGGTAGCGACTTTTTATGTGGAAATCTCGACAAAAAGTCTGCATTGCCGTCTTTCTGTTCCTCTAAATTCAACTGTATAGTCAAACTCTGAAAGAAAATGAGCATCATTGAAGATTCTAGTCGCTGCCATAGTAGGTAGTGTCTTTTGAGGATCGAATATGGACACAAGGGGTTTATGATCGGTTATCAAGACAAACTTTCGTCCGTAAAAGTATGGAAAGAATTTCTTTAGTCCAAAATAAATAGCTGCTGCTTCTTTATCAATCTGACTGTATTTTACTTCACTTCTTGTCAGAGTGCGTGATGCAAATGCAATAGGTTTTTCTGTACCATTTCCTAAACTGCTCCGAGTCCTACAGGTGATGCATCTGTTGCAAGAGTAACCGTCAGATTGGGGTCAAAATGAGTTAAAATTTGTTCACTTGTTATTTCTTCTTTAACTTTTTGAAAGCTATTTTCACAATCAGAGCTCCAGATGAACTTAGCATTTTTTGTAAGTAATCTTGTCAAAGGATATACTTTAGTTGAGTAGTTTTGTATAAATTTGCTGTGTAGTACGTGGCCAAGCCTAAAAATTTCTTCAATTCACTTACATTCGTAGGCCTTCTAGCACTTTGAATTGCTACAGTTTTCTCAGGACTTTTGTGTAGACCTTTTTTATCAATAATGTGCCCGAGGTATTTGATACTTTTTTCAAAAAACGTACATTTGTCCCCATTCAAATGTAAGTTGTGCTTCTGTAGAACTTCTAATAATTTCTCTAATCTCAGAAGAGTTTCTTCGTAAGTTGACCCCTGGACTAAAATGTCGTTGAAAAAACATTGTACGCCATCCATACCTTGTAGTAAGGAATCCATGAATTTTTGCCACAGGGATGGAGCACCCTTTACCCCAAACATCAGTCTATTTACTTTGAACAACCCCTTATGAGTACTTAGTGTTTGCATTTTGCTACTCTCTTCATCCATTTTCATATGTAAATAAGCATTGCTTATATCAAGAGAACAAAAGTATTTACCTCCACTCATTGTAGAAAAAATGTCTTCAATCCTCGGAATTGGGTATTTCTTGTCTTTCACCACTTTGCTCAGAGTAACTTTGTAATCAGCGCAGATACGAATGTCACCATTGGGTTTTATGACAGGCACAATAGGCGTTCCCCATTCCGAGTTGTCTACCTTGGTGATAATCTTTTGGGTTTCCAGACGGCTGAGTTCATTTTCAACTTTTGTCCTTATATCATATGGAACCTGTCTGGACCTTATGTATATAGGGATTGAGTTGTCCTTCAAGTTAAGTTTTGCTTCAAAGTTAGGAATAGACCCTATGTTTTTGTCAAATAAACCTTAATATTTTGCAAGTAATGAATCCAGCTCCGGCTTCCTTGTTTCATTCATGTTTATAGATATTTTATTTCTCCCCAGTCTAGTTTTATTTCTCTCATCCATTCACGCCCAAAAATCCTATCGACATGTTGATTAATGACAAAGATTTTTCCCATGAAACACTGTCCCTTATAGTCACATTTTACGAATGTAACCCCTTTAGGTTTTATGATCTCCCCTGTGTAGGTGCGCAGCTCTACACCAGTCTTGTAAAGTCGTTTGGAAGGAATTAGTTTTTTGTAGTCTTCATAAGAAATTGATGTAAGTGATGCTCCAGTATCCAACTCAAAAGTAACGTTTTTACCTTCCAATTTTATATCAATGTGAAATTTGTCATATCTCTCTTTTTGTCAGACAGTAAATTAATTTCATGGATATTGTCTTCAGAAATGTCATTATTTTCAGTGTAATGAACTTGTCCTTTACTGCTTTTATGTTTACTAAGGTATACTCTTGAAATATGTCCGATCTTTCCACAGGCGTTACAGGTTTCATCAATCATTGGACAAACATTCGCTCTATTGTTAGATGGTTTAATAATGTAACATTTAAAACTCAATTTTTACTTTATTTTTAATCACAATTCTATTATGTAACTGAATCATAATATAAACAATAACAAATGAACAGAACATATGTAAATTAACAATTATAGTATAAGCCAGTACATTTGGAATGGACACATCAATAATTCTACAGAGTAGACTAAGCTTTGCCCAGCCTACCCCTGCTGAATTACCGTAACGTACTAATTTATGTATCATGGGTACTAAATATGTATATTCGGGTATGCATATAAGTGGTTATTTATGAAACATTATTAAATTGCTGAACATCCATCTCGGAGTTATTTTATTTGGAGCTCCCCTCCTTTCACTGGTCAACATGGCGACCCTCCTTGGGCTGATTCTTAAGCCAGGAAGTACGTCTAAATTCACCACCGCCGGCAGAGCGACTGATGGAACTGTGTCGGATGAGCGTAGCTAGTGCAATAGAAGATCATCCATCTATATAATTAATACGCTACATGAAACTTTGTCGGTTGAACTTCTCCGTCATTTCTTAACCGATTATATCCATTGACGTCTCATTGGAAAGAGCGTGTCGCGTAGATTTGCAAACTGGCCTTACATTTTTGAAAAAGTCCCTTGGGCTCTGCCCCAGTGGCTTTGAAAGTTCCCATGTTATGAAGAACATAATTGTTTACATTTTGATCAGCTGTATAATTTAATTGCTGTTATTTATTTTTCAATTCAATGAAACGTATTGAGTACATTAATTTACTATTTGAGTTTGTGTAAACATAACCCCCAAGACGGATTATGTTTAGTATGGTTGTATCTTAAATTTGTGTATTTATCGTTGTTTTGTTTAGCTATATGACGGATCGTGTTAGCATAATTTTAACTTAAATTTGTGCATTTATCATTGTTTTGTGTAGCTATAATTTGTTTATTTGTTGTTTTTTTCTTTTAAATGCCTCCGTTGCAACGACAACGAAATATAGACAGGAGGCGTAATCGTGATAACGACCGCAGCTACTGTTATTCGTTTTGAAATATCTCATGTACTTTGCAATTACACTTGTTGTTGTGTACACTAGTTAAACAATAAATGTTTTAACTGTGACGTGACTGATGTGACTGAATTGTGACCGTAACTGATATGTGTGAATCGACCTTTACTATGGTCTGTAATTTTTCTTCGACTGAACTAATTTTGAAATCTTTTCTAATTGTTTTGTTAGATATGAACCAAATTATTGCTACACAAATTAATACCAAGTTCTTTAGAATAAAAATTATTTGTACCCTCTTAATCAATACAGAAGTCAGCTGTAATACAAGTCTATTGAAATTTAAATAAACATTTACATAACCTGTATAATTGCTTGGATATTACTAAAAAACTGAATTATTTTAACCAATTTTATGGAAAAATTCTATATAACAGCAAAAATTATAAAATAACATGTAAATTATAACAATTTAAAGCAGAAAATACCTATTATAAAGAAATATACAAACAAATACATCTCAAAACCTAAAATGTAACTAACAGTTAAAAAAAAAATTGTAAAAGCAACGAATGGATTGAAATATTGAAATAGTTCCTCAAACTGGGGGACTTATGATATATGAATGGAAATGAATACAAATCTTGAAGAGTGGAACTTTCAGATGGAAGAATTGCTGGAACCTAATTATTTTCCAGATCCTGTGATTTTTAGGGATAGTTCAGAAAATTTAAAAATATACAAGGAGGAGCTAAAAGGTAATCTTAAAACAAATAAAACAACTTTTAATGTTCTTGCGCCATATCTAGAGACTGTTTATAAAGATCAAAAGAAAGCCCTAAGTGAGTCTGCAAAGAATCTCACGTTCTCTGCAAAATCAAAAGAAGCAAAACTTTTACTGTGCGATAAGAAAACTAAAGATCAATACAAAAGCAACAGGCATGCACAGATATTAGAACAATACGAAATGATAGTATCTATTCATGAAACTGCAGACGTATTGAAGAACTTACTCAGAGCTAACACCGTCGTGTCATACCTCGTTAACACTGACAGGAATGAACTCTACCAAAGTCCCAGGTATGTAATATCCTCAATGGATACGCTAACGTGGAGAATTGATTCTGGATCGACGATGGCAGCTTATGCTGCATTTACAAAACAATATATTATATCTAATAATGTCCTCTCAGATGCCAGGTTTCCTCTTGGCCTAGGCTTTCCTGGTAGTCTGATGAAATATGGACTTTGTGTACCCATTAAAACAACCGATGAAAAAGTTGTCGCCGTTTATGAACTTGCAAGGGATGCTTTTGCAGCCGAGTTTGAACCCACAGATATTCAGATGGTGTTGACCATTACAGGATGGATGGGCTTTGCTATTCAGTACCATAGTCTCTGTACTGATCTGATGCATAGACTTCAGCTGGGAGACTATCTTCTTCAACTGACAGATCACTACCATGGAGGCCATGCAACACTCTATGAGACACTCTCTGCAATTGTAACATTTGCTAAACACACAGTGTCTGCAGAGATCTGTAACTTCTACCTGGTGGAAAAGGGGTCTCAAGAAACTATGACTATAGAAGAATACAACCAAGACAGTGAGAACTCGCTTCTCAAAAGAAAAAGAAAGAAAAATGTTGTTCAAGATGATGGATCTTATCTAAGTCAAGTTGTCTTCGGTAAAGTAGTTGTAAACAAATATGAAACCCAGGTAGAGATTGTTTCACACTCGGATCGGATCAAAATCAGGTCTATATTATGTGTACCCATCATCTGTAAATGTGGCGAAGTGATAGGTATAATACAGTTAACAAATAAGAAAACGGCGTTTAAATTTGACAAGTATGATGAAGATATAGTACAAATGTTCTGTGTATTTTTTGCCATAAATCTCAACACAAACATGCTTCAAGAATGTGAAAAGAGGTATATGTTTCAAAACAGCGTTAATCGTGAAATGCTACTTTATCATATGAGTCCCTGCAATCATGACCACAGTTTGATAAAAAAGCCTTTGGAAAATTTACCAAATGACATTCATTTGATAACTTGGTTCCCTCCACAGGATTCCAAAGGTATATTGCCTCATTTAACACTACACATGTTTCATGAGGTCCTTGGAGAATCTTTCATGTTGTTGAACGATGTGCAAGAATTCATTTTAACCGTGCGTGGGTGTTACAGGCTAAATCCATATCACAATTTTGCCCATGCCGTAAATGCTACTCATAAAATGTCACATCTCCTTAAACATTATAGTGGTATGTTCAGTGGATTGGAACGTCTAAGTTTGATGATTGCCATTCTTTGTCATGATGTTGATCATCAGGGATACAGCAACAGCTTTGTCAAATTGACAGACCATAATTTTTCAAAACTGTACGAAACATCTCCCATAGAAAATCATATCTTTGCAGCTACAAAGATTATACTGGAAAAGCATGAAATGCTTAAATATCTAAACAGTAGTATCTACAATAAATTACTTTTAGAAGTCTATGAGTGCATTAAAGCCACTGACTTGTCCAGCTACTTTCAGAGTAGAGTCAAACTATTGGGTCTCGCAGAAGAAAACATTTTAAATTTAAAACAAAATGATCACAGACGATACATAAAAAATATAATGATGATATCATGTGACCTCAGTGATCAAATCATGCCTTTTCCCGATTGTAGAAAATTAACTGAGGAATATTATGAAGAAATGTTTTGTCAAGGTGATTTACTAAAGAGGAAAAATCTTACACCGATGCCGTTTATGGATAGGTCTCAAAAAGACATGATTCCTGAAAATCAAATTCAATTTTTGTTGGTTGTTCTGCTTCCAATGCTCAAGAAAATGTCTCAGATATTTGAAATATTCACCCCATTAGTATCTAATGGCAAGGAAGTTGTCAAGCATTGGCAAACGCTGATAGAAATTAAACACCAAGACACCTGGAGGCCTGAAGAATCTGTACCAAAAGCACCAACAAGCTTGATGTGAATTCTTACCTAATTAATATTATTATCTGCTTCTGTAGTTGTTCTAAATCTTGATATTTAAGTATGTTCGACTATATTTTTATATTCTTAATAATAATAACATGATTTAGCTATGCAAAGGGATAACTTACCGCTATAATTTCATTTATAGTTTTTTCTTTAATCATTTATTATTTTAGCATACAAGAGTGGTTATGAGTTCTCTTTACAATACCGGTAACTCTTTTTTATAAGGAGATAAAAAGCCTTAACACTGGGAGCCAAAATGACCACTTAATGTTTTAAACTATTGACTACTCTTTATTTCATACTGATTGTAGATGACACACCTATAACTTCACATTTTGATATGGACTAAGCAAAATTGTTTTTACCTTTATATCAATGAGTTTTTAGTTTTTACTGCAACACTGGCTGACTAGGGTGTAGTTTTCCTCAGTTTTTTAAACCGGAAAACGGGAGCGACCATACTTTTTAACTGCTCTAGGTAAAGATGATGTATTTACAGATTTCTTGGGGATGCATGAAATGGATCTCAAAGTTTGATCACTCTTTTTTCACAAAAATTCATAGAATTATGACAACAGCAATCGGGTGCGAGTACCTAGGTTTGCTGCTACAAGGAAACTAATAAAGTGTGGTTTTTAGTAAAATATTAGTAGCTTAGTATAAACATAGACAAAAAGAATGAAATATAGACTGTCAGCCGTGCTGCGGTTGCCATGGTTATCATAGGTTCCGGCGCACACCGCTGTAGTTTATGTAGCGTGTACGCCGTAACTACCGTGGTGCTCCAAGCGGTGTGCGCCAGAACTTATGGTAACCGCAGCACAGCTGACGGTCTATATTTAATTCTTTTTGTCTATGGTATAAAATAAATCTGCCGATCAATTTACTTATTGTTCGATATATAATAGAACAGATTGTAAAGTGAACAAAAAAAAAAAAAGTTTGATCAAAATAAACAAGCAAACTATAACATTTGACTATATTCTCCATAGGTAACATCAATAACATGGGAATTTTAAATTTAAAATTTTTTGAATTTTCTCCATTACCAATAACCGTACAAAAACACTTTGATATACTAAATTATTTGTTTTTCAAGCTCTTTAAAGGGGTCTAGAGAGAAATTGGAAAATTTTGTGTTTTGAGGGTCAAAAATGAAAACAAACTCAAAGTTGAAAACAGTAGGTACTCAGTTTGTTCACGGACACATATGTATACAGGGTGTCCATAAAAAACGTTTCATATATAAAGTATATATATATATATAGGTATATAAATTTGAACAAATGGTGGTTTTGGTCTCTGGGGACAACCAAATAAAAAAATAGTAGGTCTTACCATAGACTAACCAACACAAGTAGACTTCTCATCCCATTGTAAATTTTGAAGCACGTTTTTCATGTACGTGACACATGGGCGCTATAGTGTCGACGAAACTTTGTTTCTATTATTTTAGGGTTAATTTCTTGATTTGTGCTTTACTGTTTGGTTAGGGGACAAGTTATTGTTTATGATTAGATCGTATTATTTGGTTGAACGAGGTTTTAAATGGCTGTAATAACGGGAAACAAATTGTAAACAAAACACGACCTCTACATAAACCGTACAGTACTAACAATAAAATTGTCTTCAGCTGTTCCATAAGGATGAGAAATCTACTAAGGGAGTATGTTTTATCTATGGTCTTAATTACGGTCCTAGAATTCCCCTTAACTACAGGCCTAGGTCTTACCATCCCACCTACGGTAATAGTTACATCCCTATAGGGAAATTCGCTAAAAAACTCAAAATGAAAATAAGTATTGAGGTCAAAATCTGTTACGTGCCCACAACTCTAATTTTTCCAATTACACTTCTATAACTTATTTAAACCTTTTACAGGTGATAAATATTGAAAAATACAATATTTTTATTTAGAAAAGGTTTTTGATCACATGCAATATAAATTTGGAGAAAACACAAAATAGTAGAATAACTGGTTGGTTAGGTTAAGACAAACCACATTTTGTACACTTAAATGTTAATTTTAACAAGTTTTTGGAGTTGTAACGGATATTGACCAGCGTTGATTGGTTGAAAATATTGTTATTAGATATTGATGTTACCATCAATGGTGAGCATCGATGCTCATTCCTCCAAATGGTTCGGTATGTATCCATGGCCAATCTTACTAATATTATAAATCTGAAAGTTTGTGAGTTTGTGTGTTGCTCAATCACGCATAAACTACTGGACGGATTGGGCTGAAATTTGGCATGATGATAGTTCACATTCCCGATTAACATTTAGGCATATTCTTATCTCAAAAATACTTTCGGGCTCCACCCCAGTGGGTCTGTACTTCCCCATGTTAACCTTATGAGTATTCATATTTAAAGGGAATTAAAGAATTTAGTCAGCTGTTTCAACTTTACAAGTTGGTTCTATAATATGCAATAGCATTAAAAAGTTGTAAGGTTTCCCAACAGGGTGCAGCACTATTATTGAGCGGAGCGAGCAAAGCTCTTATACGTTGACTCTTATGCATTTCGTAATATGCAAACTCCTCCCAGAAGGCTGAATCAATCATTTTCAAATTTTGCATGGTGATTAAGACCATATCGGTGAGTGCTAACATCTATATGGCTTTAAAAAAGTCTCTCAGGAATCCGCCCCACTGGGTCTCAAAGTTTCAATGTAATCCTTATGGAAGCAGTATTTGACACATAAACAGAGACATATGATCAGCTGTTGACTTTTGAATTCAGTAGATAAAGAAATAGATGATAGCATTATTCCACAGATATTAGAACAGAAACGATATGGATCATAAATAATATAATCAAATGACGACACTAGCTTGAGGTCCGTGACGTAGGAAGTGGTGAAGGAAGTAGTAAAGGTGAGCAGTCTGGAGTGTGGAAACTGTTTATGACGATTAGATTTAGGTATCTGCATTCCTAAAACTCTAAGGGAAGGGAGGAAAACAGGTCCGCGACGTAGGAAGTGGTGAAGGAAGTAGTAAAGGCAAGCAGTTTAGACTGTGAGAACTGTTTGTGACGATTAGATTAAGGTATCTGCAATCCTAAAATGCTATGGGAAAGGGGGGAAACAGGTCCGTGACGTTGGAAGTGGTGAAGGAATTAGTAAAGGCAAGCAGTCCGCAGTGTGGGAACTTTTTATGATTAGATTAGATTAAGGTATCTGCAATCCTAAAATGCTATGGGAATGGGAAAGGAGGGAAACAGGTCAGTGACGTTGGAGGTGGTGAAGGAAATAAATGCGAGCAGTCCGGAGTGTGGGAACTGTTTATGACGATTAAATTAAGGGATCTGCAATCCTAAAATGCTATGGGGAGGGAGGGAAACAAGTCCGAGACGTTGGAGGTGGTGAAGGAAGTAGTCAAGGCGAGCTGTCCGGAGTGTGGGAACTGTTTATGGCGATTAGATTAAGGTATCTACAATCTTAAAATTCTATGGGAAGAGAGGGAAACAGGTCCGCGACGTAAGAAGAGGTGAAGGAAGTAGTAAGGCGAGCGTGTGGAGTCTGGGAACTGGAAAGCGTTTGTAGCAGTTAGATTAATGTATCTGCAATGCTGAAGTGCTATGAGAAGGGATGGAAGCATGCCCACGACATAGAAAATGGTGAAAGAAGTAGTAACGGCTAGCAGTGCGGAGTGTGGGGAATGTCTGTGGCAATTAGATTAATGTATCTAAACTACTAAAATGCTATGGAAAGTGATGAAAACAGGTCCACGATGTAGGAAGTGGCTTAGGAGGTAGTAAAGTATGAGCATAGTGTGAGAACTGTCTGTGGCCGTTAGATTAATATATCTTCAATCCTAAAATGCTATGAGAAGGGAAGGAAACAGGTCTATGACGTAGGAAATGGTGAAGGAAGTAGTAAGGCTTGCGGTGCAGAATGTGGGAACTGTCTTTGGCAATTACATTAATGTATCTGCAATCCTAAAATGCTATGGGAAGAGAGAGAAACAGGTCCACGAAGTAGGGGGTGGTGAAGGAAGTAGTAAAGGTAAGCAGTGTTGAGTTTGGGAATGGATTAATGTATCTGCAATGCTAAAATGCTATGGAAAGAGACTGTGGACTGTAGGTTAGAATGAGTACGAAGTACGAATCGATACATATTTTCGATATATGCAATCGTTTACAATAGAAATTTACAACTGAGTTGACAACAGATGATTTTTACTACATAGAGGCTAAAAATTATTTTTACTCCCTAAAGACTAAAATGCTACTATAGACCCGCAACGCATGCATTAAAAGCGACGGTTTTTACTGCAGTATGACAAAAACAATATTATATTAATCCTTGATGACTCCGCTCAGTTTTGTGGATGCCTCTGCGAACGCCACCTAGTTATTTTGTTTTTGTACATATGACAACAGCTAATTTGAAGCAGCAACAAAATGCTGTGATACACAATGAGAACTGTCAAAGTAGGACTGTTTACAGTTAGGTTTGAGTTTTGAATTTAATGACTAATTTGTGATATTGTGCGAATGTTTGATAATTTATTTTTTTCTATTGTTTAGGTGCAGTGGTAAAACATTATGGCATTGGTAGATGTGTTATACTATATCATACAGTAAATTTATGAACCAAATTTTATCTAACTGTGTCCTCCCCCCATAGCAAACGCTAAGCTTGAGTATAACTGCAATAAGCATTTTTATACTTAAAAATGCGGCAAATGCTACGGCAAATTTATGCGTACGAAGGACGGGTGCTCTGATAGTAGTATATATATGGCAATTTTAATGTATTTCAGTATCAATTATTGGATAGATGTAAGGTTTCTAAATAAAAATCTTGATCAAACAGTTGAACAAGTAATATTTATTATCAAACCACATGATAAAATTTCATAACACCGATATAATGTTTTTACAAAAATATAATTGAGTACCATGACAATAACACACTTATTAAAAACTCATTAAATGCAGATGTTGATATTTTTGACAGTGTATCGATTTAGAAAAATAACAAATTTGATCACAATAACATCATAATATGTAACC